AGGAGGTATGACAGTAATAAGAATATGTAGAGAAATTAGCTTAATTATTCTAAAAAAAAAAAGGAAAAAAAAAGGCTTCACTTCATTTATGTGATAATATATATATATATATATATATATATATATGACCCTGGACCACAAAACCAGTCTTAAATGTCAATTTTTGAATTTCTGAATAAATAAGCTTTCCGTTGATGTATGGTTTGTTATGATAGGACAATATTTGGCTGAAATGCAACTATTTGAAAATTTGGAATCTGAGGGTGCAAAAAAAACGAAATATTGAGAAAATCGCCTTTAAAGTTGTCCGAATGAAGTTCTTAGCAATGCATATTACTAATCAAAAATTAAGTTTTGATATATTTACGGTAGGAAATTTACAAAATATCTTCATGGAACATGATCTTTACTTAATATCCTAATGATTTTTGGCATAAAAGAAAAATCTATAATTTTGACCCATACAATGTATTTTTGGCTATTGCTACAAATATCCCTGTGCAACTTAAGACTGCTTTTGTGCTCCAGGGTCACATATCACTTTTTCCCCCCATGAGATTCAGTCACTCTGTGTCCTCACTCTCTCCCTTTACTTTAACGAAAAATACCAAAGGGGATGTGCTGTAATGTAAATGTATTATTAAAAGCAATCCATAAGCTGCAATTCAACATGATGCAACCATGCTTTGCGAGGGCATAGTTTCCATCTGATTACACTATACTGCATTCACCCGCATGACACATGCATTACTAGACGTTATGACTTTCACATAAGATCAGACAATTGCTTCTTCCCACTTTGAGTGTACTATATATCGAAATAGTGGTTGCTTAGCCAACAAAACAACAAAAAGAGTGATACTGTTCTGTACTGACAATAATATTACTTCCAGAGACATTACCAAGACTAATGGTTTGCAGAGTAAATGCTTGATTTTCTTAATTACATCATTAAATATGAGAGTGTACCGTATAATTGGTTATTAAGTTATGTCTATTTGTCAATGTGCAATGCTTCGGTATGATAACATTTCATAGAATACTTGATATGTCACTTCTATTCATGGATACAGGCGAGGCCTCGGGATAGGAAATCAAAATTCTCTCTTTATCTCTCTCTCTACAAATGCTGTAAATTACAATTAAAAGCCATTCAAGCAGGCCGTTCGTATTATTGCATTGAACAACTCCGTTTCTACGCCTAAAATCTGTGCAACTACGGGCCTAAAGGCCCAAGGATTCACAGAGGACCAGAGGTTATAGCCACTCTAGAGCCGGAGCTGATTGGAAATGAATGCCGGAACGCCGTCCCTCCCTTGTTTTTTTAATGTATTTTTTGCTTTTAGTGCTACCTACGATACCATAAAGTCCCTTTGAATTGGATGCGATCCTAATCGTTCCGTCAGAGTAGCGTCCGTCCTGTCTGGCCTCAAAGTTGGCACACGTTTCGATCGGGTTTGATGTCAGCGGGATCAACATCGCATCCCAGAGGCTCCAGCTAAGTGCCACTGATAGATTTTTTCCTCAATATTCACTGTGAGCGCATGCCACCACATTCCCTGCCAGAGCACCCATGCGCGCACACTTATATAAATCGAATATACACGTTATAGTTTCGAAGCTTACGCTATCCTGACACATAAGCTAATAAAGTAACCAGCTCACTCAAACGTTCTCTATTTAGTGAATAACTAAGATTACTGTATGTACTCGATATCCTAATGAAGGTTAAACCACGTTTGCACTGCCCTACTAATGATATATTCCTTACAAATCTACATGAACAGCTACAAGCTGGAAGACACCCTTGTTATCGATGACAGAACGAAATGAGGGAGAATTGAGTTGGATGAAATTAAATGATTCCCAAGTGTTTTGGGAAGGCTGAAATGAAACTCTGCTGTAAATAAATAAAACGAAATAAAAGACGAACCCTGTGCTAATATCTAAAGGTTATAAAATTTGGCAGCGTAAGTGGATGATTATGATCCGAGTGGCGCTGATATTACTACACATCAGCGTTTATACTGAACACAAAGACAGATCGTAATTGGTCGAAATCATTCTGGAGTTCTTATAGAAGTAAAATGGAACAATGAAGAATTAATAATAACCTAATGCAAGAACATCATCCCCAAAAAATGAGAAGAAAAAAAAAAATCTAAATTAAATAAAAAGATTAAAAAAGCAGCCTTTACAAAAACACGCAAGAATGCATAAAGTGACCCTTGCACTTTTTTTCTCTTTTGTTCTTGCAAACAGACGTGGCGCCTCACTGTTGAGCACAGAGCGCCGATGTAAGACTTGAGTAGTTGCATACAATGTTTGACTCCAGATCTGTGAAGGAGAGAGAGAGAAAACGAGAAGAAGTCAGCGATTGCTCTGCATATATATATATATATATATAAACCTTTATCATATATATATATATATTTACCTAATATATACCTATTGCTGAAGTAGAAGAGTAGTAGCTGTATTATTAATACACATTCAAGTATACATTTCTTTTTAATTTTTAAATATAATTTCTTAGCTTCAATAATATTTGAATTTTTGAGCGTCTCACCAGCAGACATGGCCATCGTTGTTCCGGCCACCATGCCCATGGCCATGCCGTAAGACTTGAGTAGTTGCATACAATGTTTGACTCCAGATCTGTGAAGGAGAGAGAGAGAAAACGAGAAGAAGTCAGCGATTGCTCTGCACTGGGTGGAATGAGTCATGTGGGCGGGATCTCACATGATTGGCAGGTGGGCTCTACCAGTGAGGTGGCACGTAGCTGTACCCAGGTGTTCCTTGGGGTCGGTACGTTGGCACGGTGACGGGGTGTGCTCCAATCTGAGTGTGCTGAGGGGTGGTCAGCAGTGTTCCTTTTGGGAGAGATAGAAAGGTCATTTTTTAAAATCAAAACTTCCGCTATAACACAAAACACATTAAGTCCCGGAACCAATATAAGAACAATAGTGTGCTGCCTTACTGCTGAACTAAGAGAGTCTATAGATGCCAGTGGATGTCATTTTAAATAAATCTAATTAATGAATAAAAAACTTTTATTAAATCAATATATTTTTCATTTTTAAAATAGCTTTTATAAATTATACAAATGTAATTTTATATAAAATATTTAATTAAAAATAAATTTTTTATAATTTTTTAAATATATAATTAAAATGCCATTTCTAGGGGATGCTATTGGGCTGGACCACGGTGGTGTGGTGGATTACATGAGGCTGGGCGGCGTACACTGGCTGCGTGTAATAAGCACCCTGAGAACAAGACCAACTCAAATTACAAAAGACCGGTGACGGGGAGCTGAGAGGCTGTAGGTTCAAGGGATGATTCACTGTATTGTGATGGTGGGTGTTATGGGAACAAATCCCAATAGTCCTGGATGTGTGGCAAATAAGGGGTATAAGCAGACTACAAAAAGTCAACCATAATATTGAATATTTATTGCACTCAAAAGTATTTCAAATAACAATATGGTATGCTTTGGTACTCAAATAGCATTTGCAGTCCATTTTACTTTTGTGATGTGAATTATTTGGGTGAAACAATATTCTATGAGGAATAAATGAACTTATTTTATTAACTAGGAATTGATTTCACTGTTAATTGGATTTATCATTATTTGCTATTACTGCTGTAATCTTTATTGCAGTAACATTAACAAATGCATGTTACTATGCATGTAACTATTAGCAAGACTCATTTCAGTCATTCACTCATTAAAGTCATTTCAGGTCAGGCTAATTAATATCTTCTGAAAGAATTTTTTTTCCTGATGCAGAATAAGAGTGGAAGAGTCAAGTTGGATTTCTCTCTTAGTCAAAACACAACAAACCTTTGTGGAGTAATTCCAGCTTGTTACGGGTTAGAATTGGGTCTTACCTGAGCATAGAGGTTCTGCTGGGGATAGGCACTTCTAATGGGGTACATGGCCGTCTGGTAGGGGTTAGGAGATGGGGAATAGGGCGGAGGAGCTCCATTGGTCTGAGTAGGGGGCACTTTATAAGGTGTTCCTGCAGTATATCCTGAAACAGAGAACGAGACAGAGAGAGAGAGAGAGTGTTAGGTCAAGCAGGCGTCTGCCACACAACAATCGAATAAACACTATTTATGTCTAAAAAATATTCCTTTACACGTCCATGTCTCTGGTTGGATTTCCAAAACCTCCATATCGCCACCTTCTGGTGAGCAACAGTAAAGCACACTAGAGTTGTAAGGAGGGGAGTGTGCTGCAATTCTACAAAAGTGAGCCAAACTAAACTAAAGCACATATGAAGTGCAAACACACACACACACACATTCTGCGGGCCCCGGAGCAGATGCCGTCTGGGGCCAGGCCTGCTTCACCAGCAGCACTGTCCCAAACAAACACAACAACACAAGAAGGGTTACACACATGCGTCACTATTGTGTGGCCAAATCTAAATCTCCAAAATCTGCCTGACTGCCCTCTCCTCCACTCAAAGTCCATCAGTAAACCTGCATTAACATAAACACCAAAAGTAGGATTCCAGAAGTAAAAATACTATTCAATTAAAAGACAGATCTACCATTGAAACCATTGATTTCAACACTACCCACAGTCCTGAAGCAAGTAGTTGCTGAATTTAATATGGAAATTTTTGCAGGGCAGGTTAGTGAAACTCAAACTAGGCTAGCTAGTTACCGAACATGGGATGTGGCATTGTGTAAAAGACAATAATATACTAAATGCGCTTTGTTCTACATTGATATTCTTCTCTAATGGCAATACAGAAAGATAGTAGTTCAAGCAGTAAAGCAAAGAAAAAAAAAATCTAAAGATTTTTCTATAAAAAAAAAAAAATACAAAAATGACAACATTCAAAAAGATTTTTCTATTCAAAAAGAAAGTACAAAAATGAAAACATTAAAAAATTCTGCTCAAAAAAAGATGATTCAACTCCCCAAAAAACTGAACATCACTAAATATCAATAAATCACACTATGGTTCAAAATCAAAACACTACTTTACTGCTTACTGAATGTTACGGAATATGCACTGTATACTGCCTAAAATGTAAAAAAATTGTTATCTAAAACAATAAGCATTATTCAATAATATTGTAAAAGGCAATATGCAAGATTGTTGTCACATGACCTAATCACTTTATTTTCTATCATTAGTTCAATTTTGTATTAAATGTGCCAACATCTGGCAGTGCAAAACGATTTTAAAACCTTAAATTCGGTTATTAGAATGATGGATTACAACTGAATGGATTGGAAAGCTTGCATACAATGCAGTATATACTATATTGCATTTTTTAGTCTAGTTATATCATCACAGAAAGGTTATTTTGCACTTTAATCCAATTTTATGTAAAATGTCGTACTTTTGGCAGTTCAATCAACAAAGAGACGTGTTAAAAATAATCATAATGGTTTATTCGTCACCCTGGCAATGGAAGATTAAGTGTGCTACAAACATCTACTGCACATTTTGGCAAATGTAGTAATCGTTATCTGTGGAGTTTATGCTGTTATGCTATATATACTGCAAAAGTATGGGATTACCTTTGTGCCAATTAAAATGAATGTAATTTTTCAAGAAACTTATGAAAATATAAATTGAAACTGAATAAAATGTCTTTGAAACTGAAAAAAAAATTTAATGCAGGCAAAATCTTTGACTTTGTTTTTAATACACTGCAAGTTTTGCAACTGTTTTCTCTTCTTTCATTAGCTGATCTGTACTTACAAATGCGCTTCCAGAGTTTTCTTTTACGCTTCTAAAGTTTTCGTTTACACTTCTGAAGTTTTCATTTACGCTTCTAAAGTTTTCGTTTACATTTCTGAAGTTTTCATTTACGCTTCTAAAGTTTTCGTTTACGCTTCTGAAGTTTTCGTTTACGCTTCTAAAGTTTTCGTTTACACTTCTGAAGTTCTCGTTTACGCTTCTGAAGTTTTCGTTTATGCTTCTGAAGTTTTCGTTTACACTTCTGAAGTTTTCGTTTATGCTTCTGAAGTTTTCGTTTACGCTTCTGAAGTTTTCGTTTACACTTCTGAAGTTTTCGTTTATGTTTCTGAAGTTTTAATTTACGCTTCTAAAGTTTTCGTTTACACTTCTGAAGTTTTCGTTTACGCTTCTGAAGTTTTCATTTACGCTTCTGAAGTTTTCATTTACGCTTCTGAACTTTTCGTTCGCCATTCTGACACAACTTTTTTTATTATTATTTTATCAGTATTTATCTGCTGCTACACTACATTGTTGAGATGATTTCTTAGGAATAGGACAGAGAATGATTTGATCATCATTATCATCAATCATCATTGTTATCAGGATACTTGCGGTAAGTTTTCTTGATTTAGCCCAATCATTACAGGACCTGGTTATCTACATACAGTTACAGTCTTCAATTGGATCATATTTGCTTCAATTAGTTCATATTTTCCCCCAGCACATAATGTACAGTACTAAATGTACTGTATCTGACAATGACCGATGCCATTTTACAAGCGCGCTGTCAATCACTGCACTGTCAACTTTAGCAATGTAAAGCCTTTTTACCATGCTTTTTCTGTGTCCAGATTTGACTGTAATAATAATGAAAAAATGGTAACTTCAGATGAATATTTCGGGCAAATACATGCAAATAATTATGACTGAAAATAGTTTCCAGTAACTAGGGTATACACAGTCATGGATATATAGGGCTATACAGCCATCTAATGGTTACACAAGGGTATTACAGATGATAAATGGTGCATAATTTTGAGGTATTTAGTACTAAGTTAATACTAATATATATATAACACACATATATATATATATATATATATATATATATATATATATATATGCATATATATATAC